TAGCTAGGAAAACAAAATGGAATTACATGGAGCCACCGAACGTATACTTGTGTTAGAGATCTTTAGCCTAAGAAACGTTGGATTTGAAGTCGTGATTCCAGCGAACTCCATAATCGCCGAACSGAAGATTCTGCAACKCAGAAGTGTATTATAGGAAGACCAACAAAGAAAGAAAAAACAAATCTTTAACACTCAATAATTTCAAGTGTACATGTTTTTGCGTTTTCAATTAAGAAGCCAAATTTGCAATTAGCTTAACTCKAGAATCTCAKACCCAATCTTCGTTCCAGTAAATCTTCGTTTGAGGAAAAAATTATGACGTCTCTTTCCCAATTCTTACTATCAACTTCAATAAATTTTACATATATGGTAACAATYGAATGACAGTTTTCTGGAGTTTCACAACCACTCCTTCACACATCGTCACAGAGTAGAGAAACAATTCAGAAKATTCTATCACGAATATCCAACATAATCAACAACATTCACAACAAATGCAATACCTTAAACTCATTACAAAGCTACAAAAACCTCTCTAATTAAATTTCCCCCGGACCTTAACTAAAGCTTATTAGTCAGATTCAACTATGTCTTATTCCATATAAATTTTGTGTCTCCCAAAATAAGATTTTCGTTTCCTTTATCAAACCATGCCCTTAACCATTCGTTTCCAAAACTCTAAGTTACTCTGTTTCATGCAAAAGCACACTTTGTCATTTTTTCTCGGTAGTAACACATATCACCGACAAATACGAAGAGGAGCTTCACGAAAAATGCAGATTTTTCGGAATGTACGTCGATCCTAAGATTCTCGTCTCTCTTACTTGGCTCTTTAAGTGCTGCAACACCGTAGCCAAGAAAGAGATGCAATCGCAGACGGAACGAAAAGTAAACGCAACTCCCATCCTCGTTCTAAGTAGAAACTTGAAAATCCATCGTAAGGACACAAATCAAACTATGATCTAACAAACAAAAGATATTTAAAACAAAAAAACACGAAAACAACAACCAAAACAAACAAAACCAAAACACATACCTTAATAAAGAAAAGAAGATCTGAATATATTGGAGAATGTATTAAAAAACCAACTAAACATATATGCATGGATTAAAAGAACAACATAAAAGAACACACAATCAAATAACAATGACGACAAAATTCCTTAGACGAAAAAAACCTGAAACTAACCCAAAAAAAAGAAGGCAARAGAGCATAAATACATTGTGACTAAACCCTAGGTAGCTGTAATATTTATAATAAATATAGAGAAAAACTTTACCATAACGAAAAAACTAATCGTATTTCAATCTAGGRTTTATCATCTGACTCTTCTTGGGCTCTTATCAAATTCTCAGACTCTTATCAAACTCTGATTGCTCYTTCTCTCTCTCCCTCTGCTTCAAAAACCAGTAACGTCTTCTACTGATAAGAACATACCGTTGACGTAAACATGTAAACATAAAGAACATGCACAATACCATAATTTCTTGGATAGTACACTACATATATAAATTTCAAATATAAGACGATTAGAATTTTAAATAAAGTGTATAAAAATAAAGACATATATACATGRAGACGTTTTATGAACATACCGGATATCATCATGAATCCTTTGAGAAGATTAATCTAAACCTAGTTTGTTTGACTTAGTTATATAAAAGAAAAATAAAAAAAATTATGGATGTGGCAATTAGGGCTTATCAAAACCGACTAATGAACATGGGCTACAAAAATATTTTGGTCCAAACTCAATTATTGTTTATGAAAGATATAAGACTCACGAAATTTCGATGACATGAGATGTAATTTCCTTAATTTTATTAAGGGTACCTCTGTAATTAACCACCCTCAAATTCATTCTGAGGGCGCCACGTAGGATTTCGCACTTCATATATAATTATATAGATTTATCGAATAAAATCAGACTCATTTCATATATTTATTGATTAATTAGTTTAAATCTTATATTAAAAAAAATTGAAAAAATATTATGGTGTTTTAAATTTTTTTGTTTAAAACAAATATCCGCGAAGATCCAG